CTTCGCTCCCTTTAGGGTCGCTGATTATTGTCGGCGATACTCTAAAGATGCGGAAGCCAGTCTGAATTCATAGTATTTGTCGAAAGTACTAATGATGTCCCACTCGGTAATAGGGACATGATGTCGCTTAGTACTAGTTTTATACGCTCTGTGAAAAGGTATACAATATTTAAAATAAATAAATAAATATAAGGTCGGTGTTGCTTTCCAACGTGCGAATTTTTCAAATGCCTTTTAGAAAATACTACATATCTAAAGGAACAACGACTTATAGCTTCAATACCAGCAGGGGCCACCGAACTATCGGGAGTTATCTCTTCGGTTCCTACTCATCTATCCAATCACAAAATATATAAAGCAATATCAACAACAAAAATCATTTCTTTCGACGCATAATGCGTAAAGTAAAAGGAGAAAACAACACCTTCACACTGCAACCTACTCAGAGCGTAGTAATAACTTTTGCGTCTGCTACGTCACTGCCGGACTATGTTCACATTAAGATGTGGCGCCTGCCTGTCTCCACATATGCCCCACCTATAAAACAGTGTTTTAAATGTTTACGCTATGATCATCTAGCTAAGTTTTGTAAAAATTCACCGCGATGCTCCATATGCACAGAGGGGCATTCCTTCAAAGAATGCAAGGTTAACATTGAAAAAGCTAAGTGCATTAATTGTAATGGCAATCACATTGCCATCTCTAGCCAGTGCCCTATAAGGCAAAAGAAAATCACAAACAGTAAACTCAAGTCATATGCTGACACGTTAAAAGATTCATTAAATTTTCCCTCCCTTAATAAAAAATTAAATACCCCAGAAGTAATACAATACTATAATACACGCAATACTATCAAATTCTGAAACTATGACTATTAACAGAATCTATTGTAAAAGTTATAACTTTAAATAAAACTCAAAATATAAGTATTAGTACACAATTTATTAGCTCAGCTATTACATAAAGAAACCATACAGGCTAAAAATAGCAAATCGTCACATTCAACCACCAAATCTTAAATATTGTACAGTGGAACGCTCAAAGTCTGTTAAGTAACAGACTTGAGTTTAATTTTTTTTTATACAAAAATAATATACATGTAGCTTTTATTTCAGAAACTTGGCTCAAGCCTAGCATTCAATTTAATTTACGTGGTTATATCATTATTAGGAATGACTGCGGTAATGATCATAATGGCGTAGAAATATTAATTAAAAATGGTATACATTTCTCTAAACTAGATACTTATTAATCCGGCGTCGGGACGTGACGACCCCATCGCCCACTGGTGTATTCCGGTGCAATCAGTCACGGGGGGGAGGGCTAGGGGTACAGCCCTGGGAGTAAGACGGTCACGGATCTGGCAGGAGGCCGTCCGTGGCTGTCTTGGGGGGGAGGGGATACTCGGGTCTCTCCGGAGGCCTGAGTTCGCTTGTGGTCGGTCGGTTTCCTCTCTGTCTGCCGTCGGGCGCTTGCGCTCGTCGGTGGGTGGTTGGAGACTGGCCGCGTGGGCTTGGGTGGGAGGGGTAAGGGGTTAACCCTCTCGCGATTAAGCAAGCCCGCCAGGCGGGGGGACACTCCTGGTCACTTGGAGTGAGCCCTCGGGGGGGGAGGTGGCCGTTCGCGGCCCGCCGCCGGATCGTCGCGGATGCATGCTTCGGCGTTTCCCGTGGCGATCCACTTGGCGGCAACGGAGAGTGACCGCTGGTGTTTTAGTGGGTAACATGGGCCCTTCTGGCCGTGAATCCCACATAACCGCCTCTGTCTCCCCTAGACGGAGGGGTAGGTATAAAACCTTTCACCGCGATAACAAAAAAAAAAAAAAAAGATACTTATTAAACTGAAACATAAATGCATTTCTTTGGTTAGTTTTTACAGTCCTGGTAATAGTTTTCCTGCTTTTGAAAGGGCGAAGTTCGATCGTTTATTGTACAGTATTCCAAAACCGTTGATAATTGCAGGTGATTTTAACGCCCATCATACTTTTTGGGGTTGTAGTCGCATAGATTCTCGGGGCAGAGCTATTATGGATTACATGGGTCATATATGACTTAATACTTTTAAATAATGGTCAACCAACAACTATAGGCTCTCATATTTGGAAACCAAACAGTCTATATTTAACTATGGTGTCTTCTTCTTTATTTCTTTCTTGTAACTGGCAATTTCATCAGGACCCTTTAGGCAGTTATCATCTGTCAACTATCACAAAATTCACTCTCGTAAGAGATCAACATGAGCCCTCTATTCCCTTGAACAACATTCCTTTTCACAGCAATCTGAAATGAGTAAATTGGGATAGTTATGAACAAATTATTAATAAAATGTTAATGAACTTTAAAGTTGACAATAGTGATCTCCTTGACTCATACAGAAAGTTTTGCTCAATTATTATTCTATTGGCAATAAAATTATCCGGGCCCAGCTTAAACCATAACACAACTGATAGTTATAATAACATTCCTAGAAAAAGGTGTCAAGTTCCTTGAAGGCATGATAAATGTTCTAAAGTAGTAGAAGATTGCAAGAATTTCAAATTACATATTTCAAAACTAGTCTTAATAGTAAAAATTACATTAATTTCAAACGCGCACAAGCCTTTAAAAAACTCACTTTAAACGAAGAATGTTGTAAAAGTTGGTCTGAATTCTGCTCATCAATAAATCGTTTGACATCTATAAATCGCATTTGGACTAAAATAAGAAAATTCAAAAAAGCTTTCCGAGTTCTAACTTATTTTCTGACCTCAATTGGATTCAAACATTTTTATATAAATACACACCGGACACTGGTTCACAACAGATAAGTATCGATAATGTTCTTGGAGTAAATAGTGATAATTCATACATGATCGGTTGTTTTACTATGCAAGAGTTAAAATCTGCTTTAGCCTCAAGAAAAGATTCTTCATGTGGCCTGGATTGGCTTTCCTACAAAATGTTTAAACTTTTAAATGTTCAAACTCTATCTATTTTTTAAATTTATTAAATAGTTTATGGTCGTCTTCTATTATCCCAGAGGATTGGAAAACTGACTGTTTGGTACCAATATTAAAACCTGGCAAAGACTTTAATTTGGCTGATTCTTATTGTCCTATTACACTGAGTTCATGTGTTGGAAAAATTTTCGAACAATTAATAAAACAGAGATTAATTTTTCACATAGAAAGTAATAATCTTTTGCCTTACAATCAGCTTGGCTTTCATTGTGGCCGTTCTGCTTGTGAGAGTCTACGTCATTTCTGTCTGGATATCCACAATGCTCGTTCTGAGAATAAAGTACTAGTTGGTGTTTTTCTTGACATTGTAGGGGCTTTCAATAATGTAGATCTGAACAAATTATCCTCAGTATTATTATTACTACAGGTACCTGGAAAAGTTGTAAATTGGATTTTAAATTTTTTGAACTACAGAAAGGTGTTTGTTAAGGTTAACAATCAGTTATTCGGTCCATATCTTGGAGGGGTGTATCACAGGGTGGTGTATTGAGCCCATTCCTTTTTATCCTATTCATACATCAGCTAAATTTAACTCTGGGGTGTGAAGTTTCTAATCTGCAGTTTGCAAAGTTCACAGTAAAGTTCATAGGTGTTATTTTTACAAATAATTCTAGATGGAATAAGTATGCTGAAACTCTAGAATCTCGAGCTTTAAATGCTTGTAAATTGTAATGTTTTAAAATCTTTAACAAGCACATATTGGGGTGCTGATCCAAGTATTCTATTAACATTGTATAAATCATTAGTAAGGAGTCATTTCGAATATGCTTTTTTTTGTTTTGCAGGGGTAAGAGCTATAGTAGATAAATAAGAAAAGATACAAAACAAATGTTTGCATATTATAATGGGTGCCATGCGAACTACTCCCATAGTGTCAATGTAGGTGGAATGTAATATACCTCCATTAGCACTTGGGTTTAAATACTTACAATCAAAATGTTTTGCAAGGCTGCTCTCCATTAGTAATCATCCACGTCTTGTTAAACTGCAGGACACTATTAACAGGACTGCCAATATTAATTCATATTTGTTTCAAGGTTTTTCTGAAACAGAACAAATTTCTAATAAACACAATATATTTTCTAGCATGGTATGGCCTTGTTACTCTGGGTTATATGAATCAAAATTTATTCAGATTAAAATTGTAGTCAAAAGTCTTCTAAAGTATAAGGAAGACATTTATAGGGAACTTGATAGGTGGCAGGGATATCATCAGATATATACAGATGGGTCTAGGAACAATGAAGCAGTCTCTATAGCTGTCTATGATAGTCAGATCAAAAGTTGATTTGGTCATAGGCTGAATCCACTCACAAGCATATACTCCGCTGAATATGGAGTAAACGGAGCACATTCAAACACAGACTCCTCCTAAGTGGATTATAATAACGGATAGTTTAAGTTTACTAACGGCACTACAAAATCCACAATTAAATTCAAAGACTAACTATATTATATATAAAATAAGATAGTTGTATCACCTACTGTCTCAAAACAAGCAAATAGTCGTATTCTGGACACCAGCCCACATTGGTGTGCATGGTAATGAGCAAGCAGACTATTTAGCTAAATTTATTACAAATCCGGCCCACAATCAATTAAGTCATAACTTTTTAAATTTCCTAATTCCTTATTCAGACGCTCTATCCCTTTTCAAACTCAAGTTACAGAAAGAATTTTACAACTTGTGGCATCAGGTGTGTAGTATTCAATAAAACAATATTAATTTAGTCATGTATGTATTGTGCTAAGGAGCAAACTGAATGACAGCAACTAACAATATAAAGTAATCTACCTACATTATACTTGACATCCTATTATTATTTAACAATATCGAGCAAGCATAACTAATACATAACATACCTTTCCCCCAAGTATATATAAAGTACAAAATAACATATATATCAAAACTAAGAACTAATGAAAATAAACATTTAACAACTTATGTTATTTGAGTAATAATGATATATAATTCTCATAAAAAGCATGTAATGATACTAAATTAATTTAAATAATTAGTTGGAACATTTGGTCTATCATATGGTGACTTTGAATGATTATTATTTATCTTTGTTTTAACTTTTCCTCCACCATAAGTTACTTCACTCTGAGGTGGAATCCCTAACATGGTCGCCCACTGCTCCTCATCCGGCACTTGTATTATATCCTCAGAGCCATCACTTTTCTCTCCTCTCTCATCCTTTTCTTCCCCTTCTCCATCATTTGTCACTATTACATCAGACTGATTGCTTTGAATCAGCTGATCAATGTGTCTATTCACGAGAGTACCATCTTGTGTCTCCACTTCAAAGTTAGATGCTCCTCTTCTATTTCGGATTATTCCTGGTAACCATCGTGGACCATTATTAAAATTGCGATACATAATTTTTTTTTGTATATCTATTTTTCGGGGATACTTTTGAGAATTATTGACAATTTGTTCCCTCCTTTTTTGCTCTTGACGATTGTCTGGGTGTATAGTATCCAATAAAGTATGTAATCGTCTGTTCATTAATAATTCACCTGGACTTTTATTAGTCGCAGTGCAAGGCGTTACTCTCAAACCTAAAAGCATGTTCGGAATCTTAACATCCCAACAGATACCTTCCATCTTCCGCAACTTATCTTTAACAGTCTGCACCATTCTTTCAGCTAATCCGTTAGTAGCGGGATGGTATGGGGCTGTAGTTACATGTCTAATTTTATTTGACATCAGAAAATTCTTCATTTCTGAAGACACAAATGAGGTTCCATTATCTGATACTAACGTTTCACACAAACCATGAGTAGCGAATACATTCCGAAGATGGCGAATAATTGTACTTGAATTCATATTGTTTACTATAAAGACCTCTGGCCATCGCGAATAAGCATCAACAATAATTAAAAATATCTTGTTTTGAAATGGCCCCGCAAAATCTACATGAATCCGAGACCAAGGTTTAGTTGGTGTCACCCATTCGCAACTAATTTTAGGTGGCATGTGTCGGTTCTCCAAACATTTATCGCATCGTGATACTAAGCTCTCTATGTCCGCATTCAATTGTGGCCACCAAACATAACTCCTTGCCAATACTTTCGTTTGCACTATACCACTGTGTACCCTATGTAAGGCTCTTAAAACATGCTCACGGAGTTCTGGCGGAATTACTACACGACAGCCAAGTAAAACACAATCTTCGTGCAATGATAGTTCTGAACGATGTAACCAATATGAGTGTAAGTCTTTATCATAAACTTTAGAAGGCCAACCGACAAGTATGTAATGACAAACACGAGACAATACACGATCTTTCTTTGTTGCGGTAGCTATAAGATCCACGTCAACGGGAAATTCTGAGGGTGTTTCTGCCATCAGCAAGACATCATACAGTTGCTGTTCTGGTTCTTCCGGCACCGGTTGCGGCCAACGACTTAATCCGTCAGCATTACCAATTTCTTTTCCTGGCTTATAAACAATGTTGTAACTATAAGATGACAATATTAACGCTATTCTTGTCAACCTTGGAGACAAAACTGTAGGCATAGGTTTTTTAGAATCAAAAATACTGACTAATGGTTTATGATCTGTCACAATAGTAAAGGAACGGCCCATTAAATAATTGTGAAACTTGTTTATTCCAAAACTGATTGCAGTGGCTTCCTTGTCTAATTGAGAATAACGTCTCTCATGCACATGTAACGTCCTCGATCCCATCGCCACTGGATGCTCCGCTCCGTCTTTCATAATGTGTGAAAGAACAGCACCAACTCCGTATTCAGAACTGTCACATGTAAGAATCAACGGTTTATTGAGATCATAATGAACGAGAGTTAATTCTGACGATAATAAACGTTTAGCGATATTAAAACTGTGCTGTTCACGTTCAGTCCATTGCCATTCTTTAGCCTTTTCGAGCAATCTATGTAGAGGCTCAAGGACGGTAGCCTTGTGAGGTATGAACCTCTCGTAAAAATTATATAACCCTAAAAATGCTTGCAGTTGTTGTACATTCTTAGGTTCCGGAGTATTTATTATAGACTCAACCTTACTTGGAGCTGGGTGAATACCATCGGCATCAATAATGAACCCTAGAAATTCTACTCGTTTTTTTGCAAACTTACATTTATCCTTATTGAGCCGTAGGCCTGATTTTTCAATGCGATATAAAACTTGGTCCAAACGTTCAGTCATCTGCTCTAATGTGTAGCCACTTATAATTATGTCATCAATCAGTATTGCCACTCCTTTTATTCCTGCCAACAATGCTGTCATTAATCGCTGAAAAATTCCGGGACTTGCCTTTACACCAAACGCTAACCTATGTACAGAGTACAGTCCTTTACAAGTATTTAAAGTTAATAATTTTGATGTAGAGTCTGTAACCACCACTTGTGTATAGGCTCTCTCCAAATCGAGAGTTGAGTAATAACAGCCTCCCGCAATTGTCGCGAACACCTCACTTGCTGTAGGCATTGGGTATGTATCCGACTCAGTCGCCTGGTTGACAGTACTACGGTAGTCTCCACATAAACGTATATCACCATTTCTTTTTACAATAGGTACCACGGGTGTGGCCCAATCTGAAAAAGATACGGGTCGCAATACCCCTTCTTCCACCAATCGATCAATTTCTTTTTCAATTCTGTCTTTTAACGCGTACGGTACCGGTCGAGCTTTCAAAAATTTAGGACAACAACTTGGTTTCAACTGTATCTCAACAGGGTTACCTCGGTAGGTACCGAGCCCGTCCTTGAAAACGTTTGAGTATCTACTGATTACTTTATCAACACCTGTCACATCAAGGTCAATTAAGTTAATGTTTAATGTAATACCGAGTTCTTTAAACCAGTTGCGTCCAATCAAGTTAGGACCAACTCCTCGAGCTACGACTATATTTAAATTACACTTAATGTCCTTATATTGAACCCGCACTAAGGTTTGTCCCATTACATCCACTGGTGAACTGTTCCACGTACACAACTTATTCGATAATACTTTTAAAACACTACTATTTTTTAACTTTCTCCAAGTCTGTTCATTAATTATTGAATAAGCAGCTCCCGAGTCCACTTCCATTGTAACTGGAACGCCGTTTAGTAAAAGAGTAATACAGTAGGCTGGTATGCGCGTGAATGAACTTTTCAAACTGTAAATGCCATTCAACTGAATATGATCTTCATTGTCTGCGTAATTTACTTTATTCGTACTCTTTTTCTTAGATGTACAAATTTTTTCAATATGACCCCTTTTCTTACAATAATGACAAATCGCATTAATAAATCGACATTCACCGCCATGACGATCACCGCAGCGATAACATAATCTTGTAGTATTATAGCTCCTTCTTAATTGCATCGCGTTAACATCCATCGGTTCATACGGTGCCTGTGATGACGTCATCTCGATGGATGAACTAACATCCTTATGTATATAACTGCCTGTAGCATTCATCATGCGCACATCTCTCCCTGCACTCTCAGACGACAACATAGCTTCCACCACATGTTCATAACGTAGATTGTCTTTTTTTAATAATTCATATTGCAATTTCTTATCAGTCATACCACAAACGAGTCGATCCCGAAGCATACGTTCTAAGTCAGTAAAGTTACAGCCAGCACTCAGTTTTCTAACACGTGCTATATAAGCCGACACTGATTCACTTAGTTCTTGATCACACTTATAAAATTGGTATGACACTGAAATTTCATTTGGCTTCGGACTAAAGTGTTTTGTAAGAATACATACAACTTCTGAAAAAGTTACTTCCTTCGATTTCCTTGGTGTGATTAATGCAAGAAGAGTTTCATAAACTTGAGAACCACACACTGTATAAAAGTTCGCCCTTTGAACCGCGTCCTCCGTAATTCCATTCGCTTCAAAACAGTACTTCAATCTTTCAATGTAATTGTCCCAATTGTCACTTTGCATATTGAATTCATGAAATTTAACACATTTTCGTTCCATTTTTAAGTTTTTATACCCCGTCGCCAATGTAGTATTCAATAAAACAATATTAATTTAGTCATGTATGTATTGTGCTAAGGAGCAAACTGAATGACAGCAACTAACAATATAAAGTAATCTACCTACATTATACTTGACATCCTATTATTATTTAACAATATCGAGCAAGCATAACTAATACATAACAAGGTGGTAAAGGTAAAAGGAAAATGGTTCGCTACAATAAAGAAAAAGGTCTCTTCTCCCAGGTTTACCCGGGTTAGTGACTATAGCCATAGAAAGTATTATACCACAATCTGTCGTTTGCGTCTGGGACATTGACGTTTTCGTGCTCACCTTTTTAGGATTGGGGTTTTTGACTCTTCAATTTGTAGATATTGCAATAGTGATGATGAAACCCTCAAACATATATTTTTTGATTGTCCACAGTTTAGTATTCAAAGGATGGTCCTTGTAGACCAACTTTTAAGTATTTTTAAAACTGCTGAAGATATCCCGCGCTCCCTTCAGCAAATACTAAGCATTCAAGAATGCTACTTGCCAGTTTATGGTTTTATTGTTTCTACTATAAATGAAATCTAATTGTTATTTGTACATATGTATATAATACAAATTTATTCGTTTTGTTTTAGATATTTGATTTCAGCTATTTTCAGAATTTGACTGTTATATCGATTTTGACAAATTAATTATTGTACTAAAAATGACATTACAAGGACTTGACATTGAAAACGACGGAATGTAAAAAAAAACAAAAATTTGACAAAAAATTAATTTTAAAAAAGGAGATTAAGACATTTAAAAATAATTAAAGATACTATCAAATCAAGGCCTGCATTTTTTAAACTGCTAGCATTCGCTGTTATATTTTTGTGTTAGTTAATTACATTAAACTCCAATTTCTTTCGATAGATGTCGCTAGAATATAATCTCTAATTTACACAAAATAATTTAATAAACGCACGCGTAAAACTTAATCGTTTATTTCTGAATTAATGTCAACCATTACCTATAGTATTTGACAGGATGGACAACAGATGTTTGACAATGATCTATCCTGGGAAACTGGGTTCAAACCTTTATATGTTTTGTCGAGTTTTCGTTAAGTTTTCTTTTTAAGATTTATTCTACATAATATTCGGGGCGGAGACAAATGCAACGAACAAAAATCCGTGAAAATTGGTCTAGCCGAGTTATAAGTGTTGTAACAAACACGACTTTCTTTTATTTAAAATACTAGTAAACCTGGCGAACTCCGTTTCGCCACCAAAGGCATTGTATGTATAACATTTCGTTTGGTGATTAAAAGATGAAGATTTTTTTTTGTTTTATATTTGAAAAGGATAATTTTTATTTAATTTCACAACAGTAATGAACTCATTTCGATTACAAAAATGAAGTGTTATTTAGTAGAACTTCTCTAAGTAAATGAAAGTAAATCCAAAGTATATACCGAATCGAAGCGTTATACGTGTCCGCAAATTATCCGTTTTATTGAAGTGGTCCTTTGTAAACCACATTTTTTCTTTTTTGGTCTAACTTTAACACAAATAAAGCGGATGGTTTTCAATCTCGTGAACACGCAAAATATAACGCCCATGTGAAAAACAATGTTTTCTAAATTTATCCCGCAAATACTAAATGGTTTTAAGAGTTCAAACTACAAACACAATACCGGTTTGTCACATGAAATTAACTGAGCAGAGAACAATGAGTAGCTGTCAACCAATGTATCATGCGACGGTACCATTTTATACTTAAAATATTGATTTGAAGTACATGTTATGTATGATGGCGCTGTATGTGAAAAAAGATTTTCCCGCTTTTCTGTTGAATTTTTTTATTATATACCTCACGGAGCCCGAGACCTTTCCAACGAATGTAAAACCGTGGAAATGAGTTCGTTCCGGACCGGACTTATTTTTATATAGTAGATCTCTTACAAATATCTCATTGTCATCATTACGTCATTACATATCTGTCATTATACGTCAATTGCATAGCTGTCAATTGTGTTTCGTTATTCCACATTTTATAGTGACTGACGTTTCATGTCAAGTCCCACGGGAATGCTGTCGAACGGGATAAAAAGCATCCTATTGCAATTTCCTAGCTCTAAACTACCTCCCTGCCAATTTTCAGCTAAATCTGTTCAGCCGTTCTTTAGTTATAAGTGGAGTAACTAACACGACTTTCTTTTATATATATGGATATAAACGATATTTGATTCACACCCTCGCAGTGTTAACCTGTCGTCAGAATTACTATCTGCTTATTCTCCGTACAAACACGTCACGTCAAGCTTTAAGCTAGAAAATGCTGCTTCTCACAATACGAATTCATCAAATGTACTATCGGTTGTAGAGGGACTATTTATTTTTGTTGGTTTACCGTTTAAACTTTTATAGGTATTTTATTAAGTGAATACAGTGCCAGGAAGAAGATAATGTATAACTAGTAATTTTATTGATGAAATAACAAACGGTACCAAGGATTTATAATCTAGTTTACAAGACATTTGAAGAGAACATACCTACATTAAACTTTTCTTTCTTGATTTAGGTTATTTTCTACTAATTAAAAGAGAGAGAAAGAGCGTTTAATTATCTTTAGTAAGAAAAAAAAGAGCTATTGTTTCTCAAGACAAAGACTTTTGTATATGTTTAAGGACAACTATTGCAAAATAATCGGTACTATTTGAGAGTAATAAATAATATTTGTAATTCATAAAAAAAATACACATCATCATTACCTCCGTCAGAACTATCTTTCAATCAAAAATGAAGCAGTAAGGGGAAAAATACAAAACTTACATTTTTAAAATAAATTTATTCGTAACTTACATTAATATCACAAAATTCCCTCGATAACGTCATCCATTAAAATATTTTACATTGTTGAGTTAACAGAAACCCCTGAGAGTAATACTTCGAGAGGACACACTTAATTAGCAGTCTGTTGAACATCATCATTAAACAAACACCGGCAGGCGTGTGTCTCGCTGCTCCTGCTATAACCCCGTCCGAGCTCCGATCACAGCGACCGCCAGTCTCGAGGGACAGTCCTCTCTTGGCCGGCGCCTCCTGGCCACACCCTCGAGCGTGGGAAGTCCACAAGTCAATTCGGATAATTTCTTTGGATCTAAGTGGAGACCGTTCCGTTCCACAGCACCATTACGAGGCGGCGGCTCGATGTCGTCCGTCTGTACTTGACGATCTGTCGAGGTCGAACGCTCTACAAAACATAAATAGAAAACAAATAAACAGCCACACGAATCTGTTCGAAGATGTTGTTCAACCGCAGAAGGTAGTACCGACCCGTGACGTCTAATGTGGAGAGGTCAGTGGAGGGAGTGTGAGCGGAGCGGGGGAGAGGCGCGGCTCCCACCAGAGCGGCGCACACAGCGCCCGGCGCCGTGCCTCTCCCGCGCCACCGAGACGCCGTCAAGGTGCCACGAATGTTACGTTCTGGGTGAAACAGTATGATGTGCATCTGAAAGATACATTTCCTGTTACTGAGGAATTCCGAAACCGCCACAGAGTCTCCGATCCTTATATACATACCTTTGGTGCGAAAAGACAGGCCAACGTGACACTGGCGCTCAGTGATATGGTGACCGCCATACTTGTGACGCGCAGTGGCACTTGACTTGCGGTGCCGAAGTATAGAGGTACAAATGCTAACCAGATGACACAGGTCGTGTACATGGTGAACCCTGCGACGATAAAAACTTTCAAATCAGAAGGGAAAAACAAAACTATTTGAAGAATAAAAGAGATTGATGTTTTTCTCAATTCAGATGCCAGAAGCGACATACCAATGTGTTTGCTCTCATTAAAAGCTTCAGGTATCTTTCTGGTGAGAACGGCATACACGGTGCAGACGACGATGAGTACGACGGGATAGAAGAAAGCGATCGTATAAGACGCGTCCACGTACGAGTCACACACTAGCATGTTGTCTTCGCGAGTAGGATAGTGGTGGATAGCGCGGGCAGGGGACGCCGACTGCCACACGACCACGATGACGACCTCAAACATTCAACCTTTAATAGTACTAAGTACGATATGGAAATAAGAAAAATTTATTGAGGCGCTACCTGAATGGACACCAGAACAGAACAAATAACAAGTTGAGATTTGGGTGAAATGAGTGAGGGTCTACGCGCAGATTGTTTGCTGGCATCGAATATACGAGCTATTCTGTTCGTTTTGGTGAGGAGAGCTGCATAAATTACGGTGAAACAGAAACCTGTTCCAAATCTAGAATAGAAAGTGTACTATTAGTTAACATTTAACTAAGAGGAAAATAATTCAAATAAGGAAATGCAATGCTATTTAACAATAAAGAATTATATACCGCTGTACAGCACAGAGGAAGTCGGTAGGTCGCAATACGAGCGCAAATGTAACGAGGTAGCACATGAATATACCGGCGAGCAATACACCGCTGAGCTCACGACCACTCGCTCGTACCACAGGCGTGCCGCGACGAGCGATCCACACACCACCCACGACCCTGATACACGAGAAAATTACATAAAGTTAAGCTGAATTTATTTAACAGAAACTTTAAGAGCGAGTACTCGTCGGAACAATTATATTCTAATGATTTTAAATAATTTTTTACAAGGTCAAGAGTATCCCCAATGATGAAAACGCCATTGCGCCGATAGCAGCGGGCGTGTCGGCGCGGAGGTAGAGCTCGGGCACGGGAGCGCAGTGCGTGCGGCGCGCGTTAGGAAGAGTACCGAGAGGACAAGCCATACATGACGTCTCCAGCGATGGAGACCGGATCTGGAAAGATAACACTTGCAGATGATGACTTGGAAAAAGATGCAAAAGACTGAAGACCGTCCACAGAACCTCATATTGAGTGCAGTTGAAACAGTGCCAACAACAGCTCTCTCCTTCCACATATTGTTTGGCTTGTCCCGTGTCACACTCAGCGCTGCAAACTGACTCTGGGTGTTTTGTTTCATCCCATTTAAATTGAATTTCTGAAAATAAAGGAGCCCTTGTAAAAAACAGTGCCATTTATTTTATTTTTTATTTTAAGAGGCGATGAATCGTTCCATGACTTAACTTTATCACTAACATTAAAGTTATGTTTTTAGCACAATATCAACGTTAATCTCATACTTCAATTAAAATCAATGTAAATAAAGAGATATATATTATTCGTTGAGGTCAGGTACGTGGCCGCTCAAGATGATTCTCATATCCGAGACCTCCACAGTGAGAAGGAATAAGAATTGTGCCAACCGTAACTGGCGTGAGATGAAGACCGAAAATGTTGAGTGACACACATATGTATCACTATTATCTTAGCGTCATGTGTTTGTAGTGGTACTCGTATATGTATGCTGCATTACACATTAAGTCACAAGATATTATCAAAAAGCATTTTTGGCCAACATCGTTTGCCGTAGGTTGAAAGAAATGTTAAGTTAACTATAAAAATAATAATAGTAGCATTATTACCGTCCATATTTAATTCCAATACTCCATCAAGATAGCGGCCCACTTTAAGCCAACGATAGACTCCTCGTGAGACTTGTTTGAAATGTAGAATATTGTATCGAGCTGGTCCATCACCGTGTGAGTCGAAATGAAATTCGTCTCCGCTGAGACCTACAAAAAATATGTCCAATTAATTGTTTAATAGTTGTTTAATAATTGTTTATTAGAAGAGATAAATCTAACCATTTAACAAAGCAAAAGTAAGTAAGTAGAGATTTTAAGTGCTAAATTAATGACAATGTTAACCTATAAATCGCACTTGTCGCAAGTATCGCAACAACACGGGGCCGCTAACAGGTCGCATCTGGTCACACAGGCCCGGTCTACCTCCGCACACATCCTTGTGCATGTCCCTGGAAAACAAAATAATAACTTTATTACCACGAATCATTGAGAAAATGTAATATTAGTACACTTATAATAACCGAATAGCATAAACAAACGCAAACACGGCGTCAGTCACGAATTGCAGCTGGGCTTCGAATTCCGTGTTGTCAACAGAGAGACGCTCCGTGCCAGAACAGGGCTCGTATTGAGTGTTAGTACGTGAGCGTGGGCTGCCAGGGTAGCGACAGTGAAACTGTTCTTCCCAAAATTCTAAAATATTGTAAAAAGAAGATTAAGAGGTAAAAATGAATATTTTCAGAATCATAAATAAAGATGTTTTATGAGCAAGACAAGTACCGACAAACCAGGGGTTACGAATGTTGTTTCGAGGGGTGAGCGAAAGAAAATAGTCTCGGAAGCCTCTGACGGGGTTGGCTTGTGGCTGTACGCTGATTGTGCCCTCGACGACCGGCTCGTTCCCGGCAGCGACCAGCGCGCGGGCGCTCCAGCCGTCCGACCCGACCCACCCAAAGGATCCCGCCGCCCCGCGCCTACCCACCGCCGACATCACTCCTGCCACTTCTTGGTCCGACCCAAACACGATAACACCTGAACCGGGAATAAACATCTCATTGCATCCGACTTAATACCACAAAAAATAACTAAAATATCTCACGCTCGTCTGAATACCTCGAGCCCGCGGTCGGGACAGTAATCGTTCTACTATTGTGTCGTAAGCTCGGTCGTCCGCTGCACCCGAGTCCTTCACCAATCTTTCTTTGACTGCGATACAGATGTCTTCACGTAAAAGCAGAGTTTCTAACTCTTCAAATGCCTGAATAAAACGTTCAGAGATTAAAAATGTAATTATCTAGGTATATAAAAGAAAGTCGTATTAGTTACTCCACTTATAACTCAAGAACGGCTGAACTGATTTAGCTGAAAATTGGCAAGGAGGTAGTTTAGAGCCAGGAAAATGCAATAGGATACTTTTTATCCCGTTTCACAGCATTCCCGTGGGACTTGACATGAAACGTCAGTCACTATAAAACGTGGAATAACGAAACACAATTAACAGCTATGCAATTGACGTATAATGACAGATATGTAATGACGTAATGATGACAATTAGATATTTGTAAGAGATCTACTATTTATTTATTTATTTATTTATTTTAAGGGCCACTAGCAGCTACTACATGTTTAAATGCCGAATATAAAATAAATAAATCGAAACAGGTTACATGTGAAGCTTTTTAAAGTGGCCACAACGATTACAATGTTTTAAAAATATATTAATATATAATTACAGCGAGAAAGATCTAAGTAATAGTAATAATAATAAGCAAAAATTTATACAAATTAAAACCACAAAAAACAAACAAGTACTTAATAAAATTAAAATTAAATAATTCATTAAATTCATGCATAAAAATCACTAAAAATATTCAAATCAATACCAACTAAAATCAGTATAAATAGCTATTAAACATTAATAATTTATTTATTTATTTATTTGCATCTCTCAATAATTCTAGCGCCCGTTTGCGAAATGTCTATACTACATATATAAAAATAAGTCCGGTTTTCCATCCTGACGCTATAACTTCAGAACGAATGAACCAATTTTCACGGTTTTGCATTCCTTGGAAAGGTCTCGGGCTCCGTGAGGTTTATAACAAAAAAATTCAACAGAAAAGCGGGAAATCATTTTTCATATACAGCGCCATCATACATAACATGTACTACAAATCAATATTTTAAGTAGATGATGCCGGTGCATGATACATTGTTTGACAGCTACTCATTGTTCTCTGCTCAGTTAATTTCATGTGACAAACCGGTGTTGTGATTGTAGTTTGAACTCTTAAAACCATTTAGTATTTGCGGGATAAATTTAGAAAATCATTGTTTTTCACATGGGCGTTACATTTTGCGTGTTCACGAGTTTGGAAATCATCTGCTTTATTTGTGTTAAAGTTAGACCAAAAAACAAAAATGTGGTTTACAAAGGAGCACTTCAATGAAACGGATAATTTGCGGACACGTACTCGTATAACGCTTCGATTCGGTATCTACTTTGGATTCACTTTCATTTACTTAGAGAAGTTCAACTAAATAACAGTTCATTTTTGTAATCGAAATGAATACATTACTGTTGTGAAATGAAATAAAAATTTTCCTTTTCAAATATGAAACAAAAGAAAAATTTCTTCGTCTTTTAATCACCAAACGAAATGTTATATAAAAACCTTCTGGTGGCGAAACGGAGTTCGGCGGGTTAACTAGTATTTACATAAACGTTACATATTGTTCATTTTAATGTTCAACTGTCTCAGTGTCGAGTAACTTCAAGATTGGCCCCAATTATAAATGTAGAACTCGAACGTAAAATGAAATTTTACAAGAAAGAGTTTTCTAAAAGAATATCATCCGTGAAATCATGAAATAGCCAACAAAATGCAAATGAATAAATACCTTTATACCATAATTGGATTCCTCGTATATGATAGAGACATATCTCCAGCCAAACTTCTTCACAATTTCAACCAGTGCTCGAACTTGATGAAGGTCGGAAGGAATAGTTCTTGTAAAATACTCGAAACGAGCTTTGTTAGATAATTCCGGAGAAGTCGAAAAGAATGACACCTGGTATTAGTTAAAATATTAGTAATGCGACTGTAACATACAACTCTGGACGGTGGAACAAGCTAACTTAAACTAATCTTTTAATAAATATTTTCTTCTCTCCTGGTACTTCTATTCATTATCTTTATAAAAAGTCGTCATAACATTTACAACAGTTGAATTTTATAGACATAAATAAGTAAAAACAGATTATATATTTCTTCTAGCTCTTTTCACTTATTCGCCTGAGCTATGTTTATACTTATTCTTTCATACTCGTATAACTAGACTTGAAACACTGTCCATCACATGTTCATTCATTGATCATTGTCGAAAGTTACTGACTAAATACCCATATTTTTAATGTTGATGGTAACCAACTGTACCTGAGGTATCTTAAAGAGTCGCAACAGGTTCGCTACTTGTACGGATGTCACTGAGGAGGAGGCGCCCACTACTCCCGTGATCACTTTCCTGACGGTTGTGGCGTTACAAGCGTAATCCTCGTCGTCGATGTTACCGATCGAACCTATTTTATTAATTTTATGTAGTAAAGGTCTAAACAGTTTCTTATTATTCACATTATACTAAACAATACTAATATCAGACCTTTAATGAAGTCCAAGGCCATCTCCAGTCCCCGGGTGTCGCTGTCGCAGTCGTCCAACACGAGTGCTCCTAGTGTGACGCCGGGCGGCGCGAGTCCAGCTCTCTGAGCCTCGTCCAAGGAGTACAGCATGGCCTCGAGCGCCTGCACTCCGCCCTGAGCCATCAGCGGCCCGCAGCTGGAGGAGCCCCCGGCCCGCCCGTGGACCTTGGGGGATATCAACCTATGTGAGACTGTCACACGCAAACACCTTTTATGATTCTATATTTACTTGTGATGAAACAATTAAAGATTTCGAATATAAACCAGGACGATTTCAAAACTTTACGTAACATTTTTTCATTATAAATTTATTTAATTTACAAATAAACATAATTATTATTTTTAGTGATTTTATGATAGATCAGCTTCCTAAAGTTACATAGTAACGATAGACAAAAAAAATAAGAATTGTATTCAAATGTTTACAAGAAATCCTAGTCTACTGTTAATGTTTTTTGATAAATATCAAGAAAATTTTAAAAATATATACAAATTGCAGTCACTGAAAGATTATTCTAAGTTCGTATCGTCACACTATTTGAAGAACGTTAACACGTTTATCATCCATAAACGTACAGATCGTACATTAAATACGTAAAAAATTAGCTTACGTAGTATGTAACGGTTAATAAGTATGTTTAGTTAATATAATCTATTCACTACATCTCACTTCAGTCATCTAGTAGTAGCGGAGGTTAGGCTGGAGTGTAAAGAAGCAAACCTGTGCTGAACACAGTAGTCGCTCTCTATATTGAATTTTTTGTATCAAAAAGACAATTTCTTTCTTGGATCGTTTCCAGATCATTAGATAAAGCCAAAAAAAAACTTTATAAAAATAAATCATATTATATACTTACTAAGACTTTCGCGAGTCCTTACTAATGAGATTTCTTACTTGCTAATGAGATCTAAGAATTTCGCAATATTTTGGAATCACACCGTGTTATTTAATTTTCAAAAACAACATACGCCGGACATTTCGGTCATTTTACAGCAACAGAAAATAAAAGAACGTGTAGTAATTTGAAAATATTAGTTTTATATAAATATATTATACGTATGTAATGTTTTTCAATATTTTTATAGCTCAGTTTAAAAATAATATAATAGGAATCAGTTCGTCTTTATTACAGATGAAGTTGTTACTTTTTTGAAATCGTAGTTATAAAAAATGACCAAAGAGTGAGAGAGAATCTCGTGGAATCAAAATTTTTATTTTTCATATTGTACTTAGTTTTGTAAAGTTGACAAGAATTTTTTTATTTGAGTTCTATTATGGTAACAACAAGTATAAGAAGATCCGTTTCTTGATACTATACTGAGCTAATGTAGGTAATGTATATAATAGTTAATATCATATTAAATTATAATTTCTGTTTAATAGTTATTTAACTGTATCTTACCATCATAAGTCCTCCCAGTATGATGTCGCCTTCCACGACCGCTGCGTGTTTCACTGCCCATAAACTTTCATTGTCGGTTTTTTTCTTACTTGCCAGTCGCAAGTCACTGGTTCTCACTGAACTTTCAGCACTGTTTCTAACATTTAAAACACGTTGTCTTGCCGCCACACTTTTAGATTTCCTTGACATTTTATTTCTTATTTTTGATTTTCCTACAACTTTCGAAGTAATGTTGATGAGTTTTATATTTTTTATGTCACTTTTAAGTAAACTTTTCATCGTAGTTCTTTCTAAATGATTCAATATTATATTTTCTTTGGATATTTTATAAGTGTCGGTTATGTACTCGGTTGTGATTTCATTTTTAGTGTCATCAGGAGTATATGTAGTAACTTTAGAGTCAGGTATAGAAGAAGTAGCTTGAGAGACATCAGGTACAGATACGTTTGAGAGCAGCAGGGAGGCGGTCGGCTGCAGATGCTTGGCGACTTTGGGACGTTTTCTATTTCTGGACATCTTCGACATGTCAAAGGGACCGATCAGAGGATGAGACTCTCGCTTGTGACGAGATTTATCTGTGAGTGTATAATAATCTTCGACATATACGAATTCGATGTTAGACATAATAATAGACTGATCAGAGGAATTGTTAAAGTCGGTGATGGACAGACGAGGCCGGTGATGAGGAGAGGAGCCGGCGGCCAGCATGAGGACGGTGAACATCCAGCCTCGCAGCATGGTGAACCATCACTTCATACTTGCGCTGGCCTACTGTTACTGTGTTGTTGCAACCGATTCCCGAAACGATGCATAATAAACTGAATTTTAGCCTCTTAACTTAAGTATAATTTTTGATTCCATATTTGAGACTTAACAAAATCACTCAATAAATGTAATAACTAAATAAATCAAACCACATTTCACTACACGTATAACTGAAATTCCATCAACGCGGTCCTCGATTCATTCCCGTGCACGCTACACTCACTGTATCCACAGTCACACTTCAAGTCCTAACTTGTTCCGTGTGTGTCTGTACACAGAGCCTGTCTGTTCACGTCTCTTCTCTCCACCGTCTGTATGTTAACTGCCGCCGGCCGCGTCCCTCGTGGCTCCTCTCACTGCTCCTCGCTGCGCACTCACGGACAGACGGCGCAGATAACTTTACATTCTGTTAACAAACTGACTGAACTTTCACACTATTTTATTATTATTTTCATGATGGGAACGATTAGAGCGTGCTTTTCTTTTTGCTTCTAATGATAAAGTTTATATGAATCTTAGTAAGAAAAGTAGGTTTTATGAACCTTTAATCCGATCTTTAGAGGCTATGGAAAAATAAAAAATGATTCGATATCTTTATTTTATCTACGATTATCCTTCATGACTGTTAATTAAAATTATTAATTTATTTATATATAATGCGTATTATTTACATTATTAATTTTGTTATACATAAGTATATTTCACAAACTAGTTACGAGAAAAACAAAAAAACATTAGTTTAGATCTGTTTCTTTTATCTATAACAGAACTTTTCTTATTTTTCGTTCTTTTTTATCTACTTTTAATCTGAATATTAATTAAAGGGAACGAGGAAAAATTATCTACACTTGAATCAGTACTACAGTATATAAAAGAGGCATGAATAAACGGCAACATAAACTAGAGCTACATAATTAGAATATATAGAATTATTATTATTCTAATAGAATCATTTACTGCTTCATTAAATTCTTTTAGATATTTTAAACATTCCAGTTAGATCGGTATCACAATTGATCGATATAAACAATTTGTTTTTTTCTTTTAAATTAATTTAAATGATTCCTTCGTCGTTTTTATAAATGTAAAATTCTAAGAGGCGTTTTTCAATTGTAATAGCAAGTCTGTACGGAAAAATTGAAAGACTTTATATGTAGTATATTATGTAAATTTAAATATAATTATTATACTTTTTAGGTTTCATTAAAAACAGTTTCAGAGAACACGTAAAAATGTGCTCACAAAAAGGACAAGCGCCTGAAGTTTCTCATTGGGAAACTTTTATTTCTTACACAGGTCGAACGACGGAGTTTCATTACAGTACTCACACCTCCACACACACGTTTGTTGGCCGAGTATCGCGTCTGCTTCATTTTAATTGTGACATACTATAAGTTATTTATCCATATATTGAGACATTGTAATCAAGGAAATTCAGAATAAGGGAGACATTTCTCATTTTATTACATTAGAGAACACATTTTAAAACATTTCACAACACGAAGACGAATAGACAAGACGAACACTAGACGTGATTGAGATTGAAGAGGTTGAGGTCGTGAAGGAATGCCATTCACAGTGGGTTAGTAATATAACATAAGAAGGGGTCTCTCAAAGTTTACTGAGTTTCAAGAAGGAAATGAAATGAAAGTAATAACTACTCACCTGTTTCGGAACACAACAAGTCTAAATAAACTATAGTTTAAGTGACACGAACTGACTTTAACATTTTGAGATTGATTAATTAATAGTCTCAGAAGATGTTTGTTTTGTTTATTCAATTTAATATTTAGTAATGATAGTTTTCAATTAAAAAATATAAATGAGAATATTGGTAGGATCTAGTGAAACAATATTGTATATGAGATAAATGAAAACAAACATGAATAATACATGTTGAGTGTTACATAACATACAGAACTCTTTATTCACAACGCGATGTCATTTAAAGTGGCCATCAGTTAATTTGATTATAAGTTGTACTAAAATGAAAGTTTTAAGAATATTCTATGGATATATACTTAATATATAATATTGTATGTTAAAACAAAAATCAGTCTTGGGTTGTAACCTGAGGTGTGTGATACATAATGTGACAGTTGAATGAAAATAATACTTTGATAGTTGATTATATAAAAATTATATTCTTATAATAAATAACTAAAATAACTAAGACGTGAAGGAAAAGAGAATTATATGAATTAATAAAATTGGTTCGCTGACACTAAAAAAGATATTGATAGGTGTCATTAAGAAAGGTCGAGGGTTTAATAGGAGTGAGTCAGAGAGACGGATGGAGACACATCGAGAGACACGGAATGACTCCTTAAAAATGTTAATTGGCTATTTACTATACCTATACCTTGGGCTTGGAAAATATAAAAACGATATACAATATATGTATTATAGGAGCTGTGTTACAGAAAGAGACTAATATAGTAGCATTGGAAAAAATAGTAATTGTCATATATTTTATTCATTTAATTCAATTCTTCAAAGTTAATACACGATTTTGGATTGATTGATTTGGGTTTTCATCTAAAGCATTTCAAGATACACTCATACGGCGTAGAATAGAGTATTCTGTCCTGTAGGAGCTTCAATGGATACAAAATATAATCAATCACAAGACAATTTCAAACAAGACTTTAAGCCTGTTGACTTGTGGATAGTTATCTATCTTGCAAATAATCACAGCATGCCCTCTACATGAAATCTCAAAACCTGCATTCTTACATTCTTATTGACATATTTCCATTGATACATACACTCGATACGAGTGTACACAAGGATTTATAATTTAATTTGATTTATGATTTTGTAAAATTTATAAAAAATCCATTACAAAGTAAACGAAAACATAATTGATAGTGAACTACATTTTTTAAAGTGTAGGAGCGCTGGGGTTTAAGCATAAGCTTAAATTTAAGTTTATGAGCCGACGCTCATGTGTACCGGACGGTATTATAAAACAACGAATAAAAATAAATGCTTCGCTTTTCTTTTTGCTTAAAATTCACGCCTTGACTACGGCATGCCACTTAATTTACCTGACTGCAGTTCCTCTCTGTTAGATTAAGAATAAATGAATAATTGTTATTGTCTGTACTTCCAGGAACTGTTCTCTCATTAACTAAATTTTTGGTCAAAATTACAGTTTTGTATTACCATGTATTTTACTTACGCAAAAATTGGCTCAGATATGGATTGATAAGGATCCAGTTCAAGGTCCAATGTAGACCTAATAAGGGTAGAAAGAGGGACGAGAACGTGATTTTCATATTCTAAGCAGACTATCCAATCTTGTGAAATTTAAAACAAGCCTGTTTAATCTTAGCACAAGCTTGTTTTTTTTATCATCAAAAGTAGTTCTGCGAAAACTAGTGTTTTAAGGCTTAGGAAATGTAAACATATTTATTATTAAAGGGATCATTTTAAAAATAAACCTTTTATATATTCATATTTATATGATGCTGACATAATTATATTTCGAAGTTTTGTTTAAATGATGATTACTATGCGAAGTTGTGATGTAAATATTAAGTTAATGAATGTAACAGTTTCCGATAACCGATCTCACAGATTGTGTTTTGTTAAACAGCTTTACATAATGTACGTCAACAACATCTAAGCTTCTGTTATAAAGATTCAACACGTCGCGTCGCTCACACGCTGTCATTCATTATATTTAATACTTGACATCATCACGCCGACAAATAAACAAACAAATATTTTAATCAAACTTTATTTTAGGATCTTTTTATATTTTTATACGAAAAGACCTTTTTAGGAAACCCAACGTAGGGTTCATAACGCGCTTTAGTTGAAAATGTCTCTTCGAGTCTTTCTTGTCCGCTTATATCATTGAGTTGATATTTTATAAAAAATATAGTTATTTAATGTACGCAATATTATGTAACAAATCTTCAAGAAAGCACTTTATTGCCTCAATATATATATATGGTATTTAGTTCAAATAAGTTGTTTTTAAATTACATTCTTTAAACATTACATTACATATTTACATTCTTTAAACAATTGATGACAGTCACAAGTTATTTTTCTGGTTTATGTTATTGGTGCCGACAGAGTCCATGTATATACGCCTTGGCCAAATAAATAAATTCGTTTCTTGGATAATATTTCGGGATCATAAACCATTACCCGGAAAGGTCAGCGGCATAATCATAAGGTCATAAAACACCTGGTAACCGAAAACAAAGGATTTGTGTTTTCTTGCGGTCTTATCAGTCAATATTTGGTCAGTAGCATTTTAACATCTAAAGAGTTAAGAACCCTTCATTTCTGTTTAAGTAATTACATTAACATCTAATTCTTTAAAAAATGCCGAAAAGGAGTGAAATTAGCTTTGAAAATCGAGTAAAAATACAACTTTTATTTGAAGAAGGGAAGTCGCAAAAAGAAATAGCCAAGTTGGTGAAATGTTCGCATTGGGCTGTACAATCTGCCATCAAACGGTTTGCTCAGACTAGTACTTATTATAATAAATCAAAAACAGGCAGGAAACGTGTCACTACGAAGCGCGAGGATAGAAAATTGATACGCGAATCGATGAAAAATCGGAAGAAAACTCGTTGGCGTAAGAATGGCATGGCATTAAAAGGCATGACTGCACTAAACTTGTTCGGAGCATGCCTCATAGTATTGCAGCAGTGATTAAGTCTAAAGGTGGACCAACTAGATTTTAAGTTTTTTTTTGTTTATTTTTATATGTTATTAATATTAATAAATCGCTTTGAAAAGTAAAAGTTGTTTTGATCTATAATTGTAAGGTTTTTTTGGAGTACCTAATACTTTTGGCCAAGGCTGTAGAGAGTTAAAGTTAAAGTCATGTGCACAAAACGTACAACTGATCATTATGGCCAATATTATATGGTTGTGTTATATGTTAGAAGTAATTACATTTAAAACTACTCACATAATTTATTGTAAGAATATGTTAAACTACCTAGTGATACATTTATTATGATTGTCGAAGTTTTAATTTAAAATATTTTTATAGTCATAATTTTCTCAAGTAAGTGAAATGTAATTTCTTTTTGAGAAATAAAATATCTTTAACCATATAACGCTATTTTTGTTTCTAAATAATTTCTTTCCATTGTCTCACTCACTGTAAGTCCTGTACAAAAGTTCCCTTTCAAAATATTCCGAACAAGTTTAACAACAACTGTAATAAATGTCTTAAACCTTGTTTCATTTTCAAATTATAACATCTTTGTATAAAACCTAGTTTTAATTCGATAATAAGTCTTCAGTATAATTGAAATTTATTTGAGATAAAACTTTTTCATTTTGTCCAATGTATACAAATCTAAAACATTTCGCAACTCATTTGTACGTCTCTAAGGACTTTTTGTTTGTTTCTGACACTGACGTCTAGACAACTGTTACTGTGAGACGTTCTAGTAAACTCGAATAATAATAAATCGTTCTTATTGCTTTTATAGATCACTAGATTTTGTTTAGTTTATATATTACAAATGGTTGATAAATTGCCATTATTACCTGAAAAGTAAGTTCTGTACAATGAAATCTAATGTTTAAAGAATGTCACGTCAAAGAAACATAATAAAAATATACATTTATAAAATGTGTGTTTCGTGTAAATTAGTTTAGAAGTACCAAAATTTGATTGCTTCCAGATTAGAGTCTATTACTTTTCTTATCGTAAATTGAATAGAAATAATTAAAAATACATTTTGCGTTCATTATGAGATGGAAGTGAAATTAAATGTATGGGAAAACAGAAAGAGTATATTTTTGTGCATATCTTAATTATCTTGTCGTATGATAAATATCATCAAGGAGCACAAATTCGAACAGAAGCGACGAGAAGAGATATTATAATGTTTAAGAGTATATAAAAATATTAAACCTAATGTAGTGAGCTTTTGCTAGTTAAACTATGCATAAAATTATTTATATAAGTGATATATTTTTAATAATCTTTATGTATTATTACGTATACACTATACACACATTGTGTTGTTGTGTGTTTATAGTCGCGTCGCGTCTATCAAGTATTCAAAATATCGACGAACATAGTTTTATAAACTTTCAATATTTTTAACGTACAAAAAACATTAGAATGTAAAAATTTCACTTACCTTAATTATTCCCTTCCAGGGACGCTGTGTGTGCGGACGTGAAGTGTGTTCTTCAGGAGGTGTTCCGAGACTCGAACTATCTGCCTAAAGTCGTTGAGGACAACAGTGACTGGGTACCTCCTGCTGTACATATAACATTAGTTTTATTGTTTTGAAAAATATTAACTACAAAGTCTAATATTGTCAGGTAGAAAAGTTGTCTGAAGACAACATAGTATTGAATGATCAGGAGTTAAAGTTACGAGATGAACATGCGAACCGCCTCTCGAAGGATCCACTTACAAATATTTACAGGCTCAATTCTCCCAGGGTATCGCGGAATGATCAACACAGCAAGTGGAAGGAACATGTACGCCTGATAGAGAGGAAGGATTTAAAACCGACCTTGAAACAAGATGCGTCTGGTACGTGTTAGATCACGAAGATATTCACAAAAACATATATCCCACCTTGTCTTGTCCGTCGTACTTCAGCAAGCTATTTTCGATTTTATGAAAATATGTGTGTCTCAAACAATCAATTTCAGTCCGATGTATTCTATCGAGTCCTTTGCTAGTTTTGGTTGCTCGAACATGGTTGAGATGTTTCCTGAAGATAACATTTTCATATGTAGCATTAAAAATAGTTCAGCAATTTAGATAAATAAGATTATAAACTACCAAAGTCAGTAAGGTCTTGTAGTATGTGAGTGGTGATCTAGGGGAGGGGAGGGGGGGGAGTGAAGAGGCAGCAGTCTCCGCCACCATTTTTTAAGACTCATGACATATCGTATATGCTTCATACTGACCTCGATAAATTTTTCTTTGAGAAAAACAGATTGACCTCGCCCGTCCTATAGCTCACGTTCCTTGGAGGTGATCATTGTTATTTCGAGGACTGTAGTGAAAAGTTCATGATGACGGGGAGGACTGACCTGCGATATATTATTTTGTGAAATATTAATTAATTTCTTATTTTATATAACAATCAATATAAAAGTGAACATTCATGAAATATTACGTTATTTATTAGTGGAATACATTTAGTTTGATTCAATAAACATTATTCATTCCATGAATTATATAAACAAAGGCCGAACAAAATTACTTTTAGAAAAATTATATGAAACTAACTATTATATTTATTATCTTTGCTTAAATTGAAACAAAAAAACTTATTTTGTAGGGGACAATAACCTTTGGGTGAGAAATATACTTAATGGTAGTTCTGGAAACCTTGCTGCCATTAAAGTCATAGGATCAAAGATACACCCGCCAGCACCTCTACATATATCAGATGACACTAGTCTGCAGTCTATCAGGTTTCTCTATATATATATACATTAGCGACGAGCTGTTCCTAGCTACCAGACCGTTCGTATAGAAATTGGATATATTCATAAAACCTGTTTCATGAACGAACTTGATTTCTGTTCCAGCTGGGGGCCAGTAAGACAAACATCACCACCTCCTTCGCCGTCGTCTTCTTCAGCTACACCTGTTCCGGATTATATAATTTGTATTCCTTCGCAATTAAAATTTCTAAACTTTAATATTGGACGGCTTCATACGGTACTTGACGAATAAGGTTTCAATATTTTATGTAAAATATCGTATTCACATGATATTCTATTAAATAACATTATCTTTTCTAGCACACTTTAAGGTTAATAAATATATCAAAATTTGAAATGCGTGTTTCTGTACGTCCTCCTAAACGTCGCGAGTTGGACGTGGAGCTCTGTTCTCGTCTCGTTGTCACTTCAGGATCCGCTGCTGAAATAAAGATTCATTTTCGACCCAAAGACGTCCGTGAGTTGAGCGATCAACTGCTTGTGCGAGTTTCTTCTGGACAGAAACTCACTATTCCCATCGTATGCTACATGGAACCGCCAACACTCAACAGTTTGTGATTTTTATTATTAACACTCTTCGTTTACATGGAACGCATTTAAAAGGATTAATCTTTACAGTAATATACCCTCCGGGAAGTCTTCAACTGTCGTCACCTAAATCTACAAAGACAGTGTCGGATGTACTCGACCTAGGAGCTCGACTGCTGGGTGACGTGCATCAAACTCCGCTGGTACTGAAGTGTGGGGAACGAGATAGTTCTTTTTTCTTACTCTCAGAAGATGCATGGCTGGAATATTCTATTGAAGTACCTTACTTATCGTAAAGTAAAATGTTAAAATATGATTACTTTTCAATAGAAAAAATAATGTCAACGGGCAATGATTAGGTCGCTATTGGTACAAGAGACAACATTCCAATGTACGGTGTGGTAGCGGATCGCTTCTTCGTAACGCCTGTAAGATGGTGTGGAGGAGGCACGGTACAAGGCCTCGCTCTCTGCCGCGCCGACACTCCAGGTCTACACACGGCGTCGTTAAAAATATTGTGCTCGACTGCTATCGTGAGACCACTGCAACTGGTCGCTGATGCTTTACTGTTCTCTCCTAAACACATAACTTTGAAGGTTACTTTAGTTTTAATATTAGATTGATTTATAATATAATTTAATTATTATCTAAGGAGTAGCCGTTCCCAAATTTACGAATATATTCAATAAATAGGCACAAGACAAAGATTACGACATATGTAGTGAAGATGATCCAGCTTGTGAGTATTACGTTCACCTCGGGACCAGTTATCCAAACGAGTCTCTCTCTGCTACGGTTACGATTTTCAACCATAGGTAGGATACGATATAATCATACTAAGTATCAATTAAATTAAAACTTATTTATGTTGGACTAACTAATTCTCGAGAGACCTCTTCACCTTCTCAGTTCCTTATGTTATAACTATCACTGGAGTGTCAGGCCGTGGGGTGTTTGTTCCTGCTGGGATCCATCGTATTATGAAGAAGGTGAAGACCATGACAGCGACCTCTGTCCCGGCGCGTTACATAACAAACAACAAATGAAGACAGAGGTCTCCACTCATATTTGACGAACTTTTTTACATTTCAAATCTTTACTGAAAATATTTTCTGAATATTATGGAACAATAAGTTACATACAGTGTGATAAAATATTGAGGATGTTTTCTTTTTATTTGAAAGAAATAAATGTTGTATGATCTGAACTACAATGAGTTAGAATGAATTGGCTTTTTTAGACGGACAACAAGCAAGCTGAGGGTGATCCTTCCTCGGCCGTGTACGTGGAGCCACCTCAAGGTCGTCTTGAGCCTCGCCGTCATATTGAGCTCTGTGTCCGAGTACCAGATGCAGGAGGAACTCCTGGATTGAGAAGGGCTGTGCTTATGTAAGTATAGCTGTTGAATGTAACACCACAACCAACTTTCTTTACTATAGAATCACATGTTTTAACCTCATTTTTTTAAATGGCGTCACAAATTATTTTCTTCACAGGTTAATTTTAACCGATATTCCTAAAGAAAGTTTCCCAGCGGATTACAATCCTATGATCGTGAGTGTAAACGTCCTTCAGGAAGAAGCCATTCCGGGAGTGTCCAAGGTAATGTTTAAAACGACAATATCATAATTTTATTTCTATGTAACTTAAAACATTTAACTCGGTAGAGCTGGTCACGAGAAGTGTGTGATGTAGTGTGTGCTGAAATGGAAGTTTGGTGGACAGTGGTTCCCGTGAGGTTCACACTCGACCCGCCCCTACTACTACTGCCTTACTCTCGAAGGTAGCAATTTTGATTGTCAATATACTTAATTGAAGGGAATCAATTGGACTATACAGAAAAATATTCCTCAGAGTTAAATCAGTGTCAATCAAGCTTCGTGTGACTCAGTTGTACGGAATATCGAGTATGAAAGCGCATTTCGAAATGACGACACCTTCTCCCGCTCCTCCGATGTTGTCACCGGGACAAGCATACTTCACATCTGCTACATTACCATTGACAGAATTACCGAATGAGTTTCCTGAAACGTCATATATTCGGTACGCATTAACGTATTGAAATAATATCTGGTAAATTAAAAAAGATTTTTTAAAAATATAATGACACGCAACAGATTTCTCGATAGCAACGATGATATGTTACCTGAGTGTAGTAGACTCCTGTGTCTGTGTCCAGCCTGAGGTCGGAGCAGTCCCCCTGGTGCGTGTCGTGTGTCGTGAGCCGCTGGTGCAGTGAGCGAGCCCCGGGCCTCCGCCCCACCCGCTGCTGGCTCGGGGTGCTCCCCCCGGGGACGAGCGTACGGACCCAGCTGGTCGTACTCAACGACACACACCAACATGTAATACATATTTGAGTTACTTATTTCGATAAATACCAATTGCCTCTCTATAGGTTTCGAATGTAAACAGACAGAATTATACATTGAGGTAGTGATAAAAGTCCGCACATGTGTTACATATGATCACGGTTGCTGAAAAGTAACGCGTAGTCGAAAAAATATTAGTTTGATTTAATAGTTTAATAATGTTGTAATCCTTTGTTTTTACAATTACTTTACATTAAATTACTCAATATTTTAATATAATCTAAAAATATTATATAACAGTTATACATATTATGTTGTAATAATCACTAGCGTCCAGAAAGATTTGATATAGAGCCCACAAAATGTATTTTCGTATTTAAACAAATATCAGCAGCACAGAGGTCAGTGATGACAGATGTAATTTTCTATATTTCGTTTACAAGGCCATTAATATATAATATATAACAATATATACATCCGCTCCGAAAGTAATCTAGGTTCAAAATATTTGACCCCTCAAATGAGCGTAAATAAACAGCCTCTGCAGTCAACAGCAGTGTTGATGAGTTTTTAATGAAATCGTGTTGTGAGAAGCATCGTTCTCTAGCACGAGGCTTGACGTTACGTGTTTGTATGAACAATAAGCAGCGAGTAGTTCTAGTTACGGTCACACTGGCTGGACGCTAGTAGTATGATGATTTTATTTACTTTCGATAGATCATGCTTTTAGTGCAATGAAAGCAAGTTAGTAAAAATATAAGAATTGTACTTTGGTTGTCTTGTGGGTGAGTATGGAGTGTATATTTGAATGTACATATTTTAAGTAAGTGTCATATTGTGTGTGTGTATCAGATACACTGGTGGGGCGCGTGTCATCGTTGGTACCGCGAGCGCGTCGTGTCCCCGCCGTGTGAGGACCGTCCTCCGTGTGTGGACTGCTGCAGTAGGAGCTGTACCTGCTTGCTCCTCACTCCGTCCCGGGGAGCCTTGACACACAAACAGAGAATCACTCTTCACTACCAGGCTAATGCTCCAGATGTAGGACTAACATAATATATTAAATTATATCTTTATTCTAAAATTTTTATGAGTAAGATTAAGGGAATGCTTTTTAAAATGAATTTATTGTTATCATCATTTTATCTGATTTTATTATGATATTAAATGATGATACATTTTGCTTTTGATCACGCTTGATAAAAAGTAGTCGAAACCTAGAAAAAATGTCAAAATAAACTAATTGTGTAACCATATCGGAAAAGTTTCTTTGTATATTGTTCATGTTATTTCTGCAGGGCCTATATCTGTTAGGAGGTTTTTTGCTATGACTATATATGTGTGACCTCATGAAAGTGTTACCCTTTCATTTTCTTTCCCTGATATCTCTACTGTGAGTGTTCGTTTCAGTCGGACGGCTGTGTGTCGACCCTGGTGCAGGTCAGACGGACGGCTCCGGACACCAGCTCCGTCCAGAGCATGCCAGGGTCTGCGGCGCGCGCTTCTCTCGTCACCTACCGAGTACTGGCGCCGCGACTCACTCTCAGCGTGCTGCCCTGTGGAGGAGACAAGAGGACGGAATGTACGTTAATATTACAAAATCCACCAGCTGCGAGCCTGTCCATTGTGACATCTCATAGTATTTGATTCCCATTTCCCATTAGCAATGAGTAATTTTCATCAACGATCTACTTTAAGGAGGTCCTAGGCTTGTATTAGGAAAATATATGAATGAAGTTAACATTTTCATAAGCTGATATCTTGTTTTTTAAAACATTTGTATTGTTATGACCTGGTTTCCAACCAGCAGCCTTGTTGGCTCTCGTGAGTTTCTTCTCATCTCCTCCAGGTGTCGGCTGTGCCCTCGACTCCAGGTCCACTGCTGTATTACGTCCGAGGTCCTCCCTCACTGTGGGAGACACCTCCTGCTGTCGTCTTCGCATCACTAACACCACTCCGATACCGACTCACGTGTCCTGGGAACCGGCTCTTGGTAGTTATTGTGAAAATTTTGATGTGTCATAAGAAAAATATAGAACTAAATCTTACTCTTAGCCCGGTTGATTGAACTATTGTATTAGCCTTTATTTTTATGTAAAAATGTAGTACATACATAGTTATAATATTTTTCAGATGAGGAGGAAGCCTTAAAAGTAGTCTTCATACCCGAGGAGTTGAAGCTTGGTGGTTACTCTCAAGTTACTGTAATGGTATATTCGGCCAAACAAAATGTTACATAAATATTACATTTAACTTATCTTAAATTAAAATTTAATAAATATTCAGAAAACAAAATGTATCAAAGACACGAGTCATTGATCCACGTCGTGAGAGTGACATGTTACAAATTGTTTCCTGATCAATTCCCTTCCTCTCACATCTCTTATCGAATATTATTGTGTCTTTTCCGTTTTTCTGTTTAAGTGAATATTTTTAAATATATATTTAAAACACATCTGTAACTATCAAGGTAACCTTGGAAGCCAGGCGTGTCGTCAGTCGTCGTCTGTTCGTCCGGAGAGCCCGAGTACTCCACGCCTACAAGCCGTTGTATTTGTTAATTGACGCTGCGGTTTCAGTAAGATTTAATTTCTTTTACAAAACTTTAAAATTTATTTGAAATTTGGAGATTAGCTTAGCTACTGAAATATGAAATATTCAACTGAAACATAAAGATAGAAATGTGAACATAATCGAAAAATACTCGTACTTTAAAATAATGATATCTAAGAATTTCGTGTGTATTCATTTATAATATGACCTTTATATACCTGTATAGACGATGAAACATATCTATATGTATGTGCCGAAACCATATATTTTAACGACGATATAAGAAGAGGTTCTTGGTATTTTATGTCACGCATCTTCCTTGAACTGTGAGATGTTATAAGACTTTACTGTCATGATGGTCTCCTGGTGTTCGTTATCTTGCACTTCAATATGAAACAGAATGTTAAAATATACTTTGATACACTTGACTTGTCAATTTGAAGTAATCATTAGTAATAAATATATATTTTTATTTAACTAAAATATTAATTATGTATTACTTAATTCGGGAATATTTTGTCAAAAAGTATTTCAATGTTTAAATTCAGCTTGAATTTCAATAACAATCTATCAGCCCTAGCACATGGGGATCTATTTTATGTGTCTCCTGAATGATGTTAATGTTTTCTGTGGAGCTTGTGAGTGTGTATTAAACGTGTGTCTGTGATATGTGACCTGTACATAACATCGTGACCACCGTAATAATACTATAAAATATCGGTTTTCCTTCGACTTTTTTCTACAGGCTATAAGAATGTGAAAGCGATAAAAATAAAACATTAATATATAATGAGCTTGTTGTTTGGAATCTTTCGTTACATCATACGGTCGTGTATGACGACCTTTTTTCGTATTTAATGTTCCCTACATATGACCTCCTAGACGTTACTCTTTAACCGACTTCAAAGAAGTAAACTCGACTTCAGAGAACTGGAAAATAAAAATTATTTTTACTCTACGTAATTTGGTTTTAACTAAATCAATATTTTTTTGTGTAAAAAATAGTTTCGTTGTCTTTCTTAAGTCACATTTCTTTAATGATCGACTTAATTCATCGGAATAATATAATAGGTGCCGGTCTTCTTACTTTGAGTTCGGTTTTAGGGGGGCGGGGGAGGGGGAGGTAACAATTCAATGGATTTTGTTTAGGTCTTAGATAAAATTATTTTGTTCATTTCACTGCTCGTACAGAGAGTACAAGTTAATCCTTTATGAATGAACTGAAAGTTTTCAACCACAGTCTCATGAAGGTTCAAAAACGACAGATTTAAAGCTGTTTGTACATCGAAGCGTGGACTAAGTGTATACAAGTACCTGTTTAAAAGATAGTATTCAGCTCGAGAAGCGGACTCGTTGTTGTTTATTTTTTTTTAGATACATTATTAATATATTAGTGTATGTATATGTTCGTACACTCGTACAGGGTGTGGAGGTGTCTGTGGAGTTTCCTATCGGCGGTGGAGATCACACTGATTCATTTGTATCGATCAAGATGTTACAAGTGAGTAAGACATAACAGAACATGTTGACTGTAGTATTTATCTAATATATATACAGTTTTTGTTTAGTCTGTTCAATATCTCTATATGTGAATATGTCTTCTTATTTCACTCGTTTTACAAGTTTTGCTATAAAGTTCATATGAATAATATATTTTTACTATAACCTCGTATATAGTTTCTAATAATAGTCATTAATTCAAAGTTTGTTAAGTAACAATATCTACCGTGTGGAATATTTAAAGTGAAACTATTGACTCTAGAAGGAAAACATAGCGGCCAATATATCAACAAGGAAGCTACAGTCACCCTCAGTCGCCGAGATGTTTGCGGAAAACGATCGTAAAAGAGCTTTCCAAAAAGGTCGGCAAGTATTTATGATCACTTCTATTGGAATGTATGTGATAAACAATGTCATAGTTCTTCTTATTTAAGTTTCTTGATATGTTTATAAATAATTATTATTTTAGGCACTTTTTGGTATATTTTTAGTGAATATTTTTGTGTATTATCAAGAGTGCGAACATTCATAAATATATAATTACCGTACTGTTTTATCAGAGCACACTTGCACGTGTAAGTATGAGATGGTCTACATTCCACCCAAGAAGGAACCGCAGAAACCGACCCGAGACAGCGAGGAGTCTCCTAGAGTTGAAATAGGTTAATATAGAACATGTCTCATACATGATGTATGTATGTGTTGAGAGTTTATAATAACTTGAAGTATTCAAGTGGAGTCTCCTCCGGCCCTCACTCGCGTCTGTCCTTGTTCCGGTCAGTGTAAGCCTCAAGTGCCTGAAGACGTCGACCCTTATTGTATTCAGTTCGTTGGTCTCCCGTTAAGAAATGGTTTGTATGACATATATACACAACACTTACCGTCCCTGTCTGTCATATGATTTTGAATCAGTGAGATTCTAATGTAAATAAATTAACAATATAAATACTTATTAACGTATAGTTACATCGTGTTATCAGTTCATTATTAATGTTACCTCTAGTTCGGTCTCGTGTGGTCACTCTCCGTAATACTTGTCGTCTGAACGCTCGCTGGAGCTGCGCCGTCCGGAGACACGAGAGACCTCGACACAGGACCGTTCACACTAGGGAGGAGGGTAGGAATACATTAATAAAATATAAAATTTGTTAATACGGTTTAAATAAGTTTATAATGATTAATTTTACATAGTTCATCCATTTTTTCTATCTGAAACCCAATTGCCATCCATCCATGTATAAATCCATTGATCCATCCATCTATCCATGCATCTATATATCCATGCATCCATCCATTATTATTATGATGATGATGATTCCTTAACCGTAATATTCTCTCTATCTTCACTAACTTAAGTCTCGATCTCACTTTCATTCCCCTTTCCCGCTCACTCTTTTCGTAAGACTTTCACCTCCTTAAACTACCAAATTACGTGCGTAATAAAGATTTACTTCAATAAAAGTCATATAGATTTATAAGCGAGTTAAGTTGTATATCCTAAAGATAAGGTTTCCTATTGAAATTTTAAGTGAGTCTATCGAATATACATTTTTAATATGTTTTTAAAGTGATTGTATGAGCAGTATGATAGTGTTAATATCTCACTAGACCAGTGGTCGGAGGTGGTTCATCATCCAGGGTACTCGTTGTCGTGTTCTCCATCACACGGCTCGCTGGCTGCCAACACCTCGGCCTGCTTTACCGTCTCAGTGTTTGCAGACACCTGGGGCCTGTACTACGACCAGATCATCATAATGGTAAGGACTTCCAACTCCTTTAATGTAAGGAAAAATTTTTAACCAGCTTTTAATTAACATAACAATAAGCAAAACTGTTATCAATCAGATTAAAACGTTGAGTCAAGGCTTTCAGAGATTACTTTTACATCAAAATAATAAAATCATGTTATAAACGAGCTCATCACAAATCTCTTTGTATCCTTCGTAACAGGAGACGTAACATAATTAACATAGTAATTATTAAAGTGATGATGAGCTTACATTGAATGAAGACGAGATGAACTAAAACACACCGAACATAATTATTTTCAATTGTTCCATACGTGATTCATGAATTAAATATCAGACGTTTCTTTACAGTCGAAGTTACCTCAGTTATAAAATTACCAAATAAATAAAAGGAGGCACAAACTCTACTAGTTTCTAAATGGCATCTGATATTATAAGCTTTTGGGTATTCTTTTTACAGTAGCTCAAACATGAGTTTAAAATGGATGAATGTACAGAGGAATGTCCGCATGAATAAATGCTAGTTTTTAATTAAACAGGAATCTTATAATTTTAATATAATAAAGTTGTCGTATGCTTCTCACTATTGAAGAGACATAAAAAAAGTAATAAGATCAGTGACGGGAATGCAGAATAAGATGACATGATCCTCATAAACAAAGACAGTAGCTGATGAGACTTTTATTAAAGGGAGGGATCTGAGAGATGTGACAATGTAGCTACTGTATGACCATGACTGACTAGCGCAGGAAACTCACTTAGAGGACTCCAGACAAACTGACTATAAACACTGTAGGGTCGAGAGAATGTTTCATGTTTTGTTGAGGGAATTTTCAGACAACACGCACAGCGTCTTAGAACAGATCAAACCTATTTGTTTGTAATACTTTGCGAGGTCCCCTGTACGGCTCCAACGACCTTATTCGTTTTTTCCAATCAACATATGTTTCATTCACAGGTCGAGGAGTTGGAGCCGCTGGTCATAGACGTGTGGGTGGAGGCGGTCGGCTCGCCGCTGAGCTTCGCTTTGCGAACACGAGACTCTCAATGGCCGGTGCTGTGGTAAGGTTATGATATCCTGTAAATGATAATAAATATATGAACCGCTACAAATATACGAAATGTAACAATCGAAATATGTTATTTAAATTTGTTTAAACTTTAGTTGAAAATAAAGATAAATTACGAGATATTTTTCCTTTGAATTTTTTCACTAGTAAAAGATATATATTATGTTTAGATTCAAATATATCTTCTATTTTATTTTGCTTACAACGGTAAAGTTATAAAACAGGGTATCTTTAGGGTGTTATTAAAATATATTTCATCAGTGTCGTTTTCCGTCCTTTTATAAGACCGTGAGTATGTTGTTAAACCCTTGTATAATAACTCGGTATTTTAATTAATTCCAGGATCTCTCACTCGGATCCCGAGCGGCTCGTAAACATAACGAATACCTCACGCACCGACTTGACTGTGTATCCATATATTGTTAAAGAAAATGGTAACACTTGTTATAGAAATTGTATTTTTACGTTAACGCACTAGCAGTTACATTACAATGTAGAACTATTTTAGAAGCTGTTGTCTAAAATAATATTTAATATTGTATTTAATGATTTAGTAAATAAATGAGGATATCGGTTCAAGTTTAATAATCAATACACGGGATCCATTTACGCCTTCGCTGACGATCTTGTAATTCGGACACGAAACCTTAAACATTGTCAAGTTCTACGAAATACAGTGGATACATTCTGTGAGTGGACGGATGGATTGAGGACAAAATCAAATAAATTTCATTGTCTGTGTCTTGGTAGGCGGAATACAAGGTATACCTCATACGAGCCGCGATTATAGTTAGGCGGTCAATGCGTTTATACGGTTACGGAAAATGCACCAGTACAGGTGAGCGCTTAACGCGCGCTAGAGGCGGGCCCCTTAAACCTACACCTGGGTCGCAAGTCCCTGCAACGCATAGGGACCTACGCGTACGGCACCCGCATGATGATTCCATGGAATGCTGACATGTTTTTCTTCTTAATTTTTCTTAAAAATGTAACCAAAACTCAATTTTGAAGTGGATTAGAAAGGTGTGTGTGAAACTGTTACAAATATCTGGTTTTCTCGCAAGAACATATTATGATAAATTTTTGATGGCATAGGTTATTATTTGATTAAATATTAAACGGTAAATTTGTAACATAAGATTTTTATCAACATTTCTGTTAATTTATAGAATCCTAAATATAATTCTGTTTTGTTATTTTTCTTACATGTTTTTGAAAGTAAATGTAAATATACCTGTCTGAAATTTACGGGAATTATAATTATACTTACTAGTATTATTCGTTGGCTCTGTTTTATGATCTTAAAGAAATAAGTTATATGAAATTGCACAATATTTGTGCCTTCTGAAGAAGAGACGAAACCTCTTAGCATTCAATTGATTCACCGTGCGGGTGCCGGGTCCATCCCGTTACAGGGAGAGGAGCTTCAACAGTGACTGGGACTTGCGACCTAGGTGCAGATTTAAGGGACCCCTTAATATAATTAACATCATCCGCATGTATGTTGCCGGGAACCAAATAATCTATACATATAAGTAGTTATTAAATGCTTTTATTAACTAATAATAACACAATCATTAATATTGAAACATTCATATGATAATGAAAATTTCAGAGTTTAAACAACAAGAGTTGCCATTCCGTCTGTACCTGCGTCTTTTTGATGTATTACCTCGTGTCTGTCCTTGTCTCTCTGCCCTCAGTTGTGAGTTTAACTTTTACGAATATTTATATAAGTAGTTTAATAAACACCGACTTATATATAGTTATCGTTTAAAAAAAGCAAGTTTCATAGACGAAGAGGTTTCGGAACAAAGTGTTTACGAGGAAGAGATGGACACAGGTGTGGAGTTATATCTGGCAGCCGACTTTGGAATACAAGATGAATCGTTTTATCAGGTTTACATGTTTTCACTGACTTTTGCGATGGTTATATAAAAACATTATCACTGGAGAAAAAATATGTTTGAAAATAATGTTCACGCAGGTCGAGCCGATGCAGTTGTCGATAAAAGAGGGAGAGAGTGCCTCATTAACAATACGGTCGATTCCACGTCATGAAGTGGCGCCTTATTCCACTTTAATGCTTCGAAGTTTACCAGTCAACGAGTGCGGGTGAGAATATTGTTGATATAATATTTTCCCGCGAGCAATACTATCATAGACTAATCTTAGTACGAATAATGCGCAGAAGTAGTGTGTAGACACAACCAAAGAATGATATGTAGAGATGTTATCATGTAGAATGCTTTTTTTAGTAAAAGTTAACTTACGATTTAAATGCAGCCTGTAATAAACCGTTACAGACACATCCTTGATGTTGTGTCTTGTTTCATTTGTATGTAGTGTCGCGTGGTACCGCCCTCCACCACCCGTCCAGTGTGTGGCGCTGCGTGAAGCTGAACGACACTCCGACCTCAGAATAACTCAGTCTGAGATACGAGTGACATTGTGTGCCCTGGAACTGCCCGCCGGTGATGTTATGAGGCGAGAATAAAATATCAAATACAACATAAATCTAGCTTGGAAATAATAATCGTATAACAAACGAGTACTCCTATATACTACATAACTAACATACAAATGACGACTGAATGACGTTTTTCTTTTCAAAATTAGAGTTCGCAAAACGGTGAAACTTCAGAACATTGGAGATGGGCCGTTAGAGACTACGGCTAACACAGCAGCGCCTTGGCTGTTGGGACTCTCCAGACATATCTGTAAAGCTCACTGCATCGAGGGTGACAGAACCAAGACAGAGAGTATAACAGTACAAATACCACCGAGAAGTTGTATTGAAGTAGGAATATCAATTGTTGAACTTTTCTATCTAGTGACATATCATTTCTTTAATCGTATAATATACCACAGATGGTCGTAGAGCTCAGTTTGAAAACCAGTGAGGTGTGGCCTTCGCCGGGCAGTGTGTATCCTTCAAGAACCACTACTAAAACTGAGTTGTGCTTCTCCGATCACGAAGCAATTACGTTATTGGTATTAAAACATTTCAAGTGTTAGCACAAATTGGAGACTTTTAGTTTTATATTTATATTTATATGTTTTCATCGACTAAGTCTCTCCCACTTGTCCTGCACATGGACCTACCGGTACTGGAGTCGGAGCCGGAGGTCATTGACTTTGGTTTCGTGTCTGACAACACTTGTCGGAAGTCTTACTTCACCATCAAACATTCCAGTCGTAAGTGGTTCTGTTTTCTTAGATAAATCTTTTCAAACTTAAAAATTATAATAAAGCAACTAATATATCAATCAGCGTCCGCTGTTATCGAGTTGGTGACGAGCTGGTCTGGTGACAGTCAGTTCGATCTCTGGCCGTCAAGTCTTTCTCTGCGACCTGGTGTCAGCGAACGTGTTTATCTTCAGTTCACAGCTAAGTATGATTCATTAAAATTATAAAATGTAAACAACAACAATATAATGTCTCATCGGTTCATATCTGTATCATTCATGTTCATTCCAACATGTCATACATGTAAGTGTATGGTACACCATACAGCCCTACAGGGCTCAAGGTTAAATCTATAATAATGCTCCAAAAATTTACACAAATTAAAAATAGTTTCTTGATATTTTTGTTAATTTCTACTAATATTAACTCTGCTCCGTTATTAGTTATATCAATAGTCGCGTAAAAATATTGAAAAAAACGGATTCGCGTAACAGTTTTCATTTTAATTATTTATTAAGTAGGTCAAATTTAATTACGTCCGATATGACTCAAACCAAGAAAACAAGAAGCATGAAGCTACTTCTGCTTAATTAAACACCGTTACGTTAACTTCATACTTTTTAAGAAATTACAGTTTCAACACAAAAATTATGGACAATTAAAAAATATAAAAAGAGAATTACGAGACGTTAAATGACAACTTCGAGGACCACACACAAACACGGACCTAAAATAACTTTTATGTATTTCCGAAGTTTTGTAAAGTTACAAAATAAAAAAAAAAAAGATTTAAATATGATAGAATTTCAAAACATGACTATACTATAGTTATGACGCGGTTGAGATATGACGTTCGAGGTATACTCGTACTATCGTAAGATTACTATTCGTATGTAAATGTATATGTAATAAAATGGTTTTTAGATATGTGTAACGTTTTAAGCATCTCTAGGTCAACATTCGTTTTGTTATAAACAATTTGTGTCGTGAAAGAATTAATGGTCAGACTACATACCCGTACTATCCTCTCAGTTGGATGGAGGGCGCCGTCTCTTGTGGGGAGGTCGTGGTCTGTTCTCGAGGAGCAGCAGGTGAGTGGTGCAGGACGAGGGTCAGAGGTCGAGCCTGCGTCGCCCGGACCAGCTCACACGTACACCACGACCACACCGACGATGACAACTTACTGCCTTCCTGAAGACATACATTGTTATACCAGCATCAATGTTTTTATATTACATTACATTAACTTTCTGTACACTCCATGTTCATTTATAAAATCTATTTAAAATAAACGTTCAACAAAATTAAGCCCGAGTTTAAATCCATTAAGTCAATTTACACAAGAGACTGTGTACGTTATATAGGTCTAAAGGTACTCTTTTTGTTGATAGTCATTTTAAAAACAAAATTAAATTAACGTCAATAGAATTCAATTATGTATAGAGTTCAAGACAAAATAGACAATTGATAAAAAATAGACAAGAGAGCAGCGGCAATGAGATAGGTGTATCGTCCCCATGAGCTGTCAGAGTGTGTAAAGCTGTGCGGATATCTGAGAGGTTGGTACGGAGCCGATCTAGGCAATGCTTCCGTCACAATCACTGTTTACAACATTCAACTTAACACTGTCATTACTTTATTTCAGACTTTAACTAGCACTTGTAATTAGATAGTCTTCCTCCTGAATGGCTCTCAGTACGCTTCCGCCAAATTAAATTTAATTTTAAATATTAAACTATGAAGAATAATCTTAGTTATTCAAATAAACACAATACATTACATTCGTTTTAGTAATTAATTATTAAAACATTCAATCTTAATATTGCCACTTAATAGTTTATAGAAAACATAATTGATTAACATTGAATACGAAGTAATTACTTATTAAGTACAAGTTACAGAATGATTAATCGTCACATATTACTAATCACGGGACAAATTAACTTTTACTGTCTTTTAATACATACAAATCACACAACGATTTCTAGAATAAATAATTTTGATAAACAAATCACTGACACAATGACGTTAGTGATTTGTTTATGTCACATCTACCCTCTAAAGTAAAATGCTTATGAAACAACTACCCCTTATAAGGGTTTTAAATATTGTTGCGTCGAGAAATACATACAAATATATGTACTAAGAAAGAGAGTAGCACAATTACATCTGCAAAAAAAAAATACTAGATTTATCTGGTTAGGTTAGAAAATACTAATAAATATGGTTATTTAATTAAAAGTATGTATGCAGACGACACTTGTTTGTTTTACTTTGAGAATTCAGAAGAGAATATAGAAAGTCTATTAGTAAAAGCACAGAAGGATTTAGATAAACTACACGAATGGTTTCAATATAATTTACTCACTATAAATATTGAAAAGACCTCTTTCATGTTTTTTCATGCAAAAAATAAGAAAATACCAAATTTCACTCCATTAACGATAAATAACCTGACTATCAAACAATCAAATCAAGAAAAACATCTAGGCCTGATCCTAGACCCGAAACTAACATGGCATGCACATTTAGATTATATACAAAGAAAAATAACCTCACTTACTGGAGCTATACGTAGATCATCACGTTGTATACCACACAAGATTCGTATTATAATATATAACTCACTTATCAAACCTTTGTTAGAATATCTTGTTGAGATTTGGGGAAGTGCATCTAAAACTAATATAAAGGATCTTCAAATTTCACAAAATAAATTACTAAAAACTTTGTTCCATCTAGATTATCACATGTCAACTAGGGAATTATATAAACGTATGAACGTATTATCAATTAACCAGTTATACAAATATAAAACATGCATATTAATTAGAAACTTACGAAAACAATACACACACAAATAACATTTAAAACTAAAACATACAAACATAACACGAGACATAAACACAAACTTGAATGACCCAAGACCAGGACCAAATATGGAATTAAAACTATAGAGTTTGAGGGAGCGAAACTACATATATACTGGCTTGCCTGACGAAGTGTTTGATGAAAAAACGTTTGTGATTTTTAGGAGGAAACTATTGGGTTGTAGGGAGCACTTGGATTAACTATGGTCCGTTGCTGCTGTACTGAATTGTGGTTTGAATTGAATTGTGTATTACATCTCATTCAAGTGAAAATTGTTCTTTATGAGAGATAAATAAAGTTCTTTAACCCCAAAAGTAGAATAATAAACACTGTATAACAATTTTAATTAGTCTACCTTAGCAAGCTGTAGCCTACCTTTCCTAATGATATATTGATCAGTAAATCATAAATATCAAGACGATTTGTCAGTACAAGGACTAGCACAGTTGGTGGCGGTTGTCAGCGTCTATATCCTGTTGAACTCAAATATTTGATTCCGGTTGTAGGATAAAACAAATTACATATACATATATGATTCACCCGCTGCTACTGTGTGAGGTGAGGTTAATCTATAGAGGCATGTGCTGTCAGTCTTGATAAACAGACACTAATTATTATATGGAGCGGTACGAGCATCACTAGACGTTACATAATAAGAGTGTAACTATCATAACATGTAGTCCCCAGTGATCACTCCATCAAAGTATTTTATATAAATGACTGTATACACACAACCATTTTTAATCACTTTGAAAATCCAATAATATAAAGAGAATTAACTGGAGAGCTTCTACATGTATTAAATGGTATAAATTGATTTTGGTTCAAAATAGAACGGGACTGTATCTTTTAAATTGATTAATTATTTTCCATTTAAAAGAAAAGAGCCTTACTATTATTATTTCAGCATTAAACGCTACTTGAAGGAATATCATAAAGTTCTGGTTTCTAACTTTAATATTAAAGTCGGATTTTTTGAGTAAGATATTTGTTTTTTTGAGCTAAACGATTTTATGAATTATTTATTTCAATACAAATATTCTTTATATGCACTGTTTAACAAAAAAAAAAGATAATATTATTTTTATATTGGTTCATAATGATTGTTCTCAGAGTGTTATGTTTTTTCAAATCAAATATTTCGGATCTTGTTTGAACCTCTATAGTTATAATTGTTAGGACTTTTATGACATCACAAATGTATGTACTTACATTAGACGCAATAGAAGTAACACGTGTCTCACCATCTGTTCGTCTGTTAGTAAAGTTAAATGTTCAGAGATTTATAAATAAGTTACAGTTATATAAAAAAAGACAGTAATGTTACATCGTATAAGCATGCAAAGAGCTCTTTAGTCAAAACAATACAATATTCAATATGTTTTTCTTTCGTCAAATGGAGAAAAACGTAGTAACAATTGACTTACTAAAAAGGCTTATTGGATGAAATTACATCGTAATATTCAAGAGAGATGAAAACTTTCACTTACACGAGCAGGATACATGAATACATATTGCCTTTCATCCTCGTAGTTGCTAACGTGAACAATATTTGTTGCTTTTTTACTGAAGCAGATTTGAGTGAGTACTGTCATAAAACAGATAAACAGAGACGCTTGGTCTTTAACGACTCTTGTGTAAGTCTGAGATGTAAAAATAGTTACAATACTTCAGGTTAACATAACATTTTGTACATATGGAGAATGTTTGTGAAAGAAACACTTACTATTTATAAATATTTTCAATGGTGTCACATTTAACAAAATCATATTAATACGTGTACAGTCATCTGTGTTAAGATATTTTGTTATTTTCATAAACTGACTCAACAAATATTTCTTAAACCTATCAAGTGTCGTATAAAGCTCAGTACTCGGAATATTATTTTGTTTAATATGCTGATGTGAGCTCAGTAACACTAGCTTTTGACCAGAATCTAAAAATATATTTTTATTAAACCATTTTACAAAATATTATTTCGAAAAAAAAAACTTGCAGCTGCATGTATATAGTAAAGCCTGCCTCGAATGGTTATCAATCAGAGGCCGTTTGTATAAAAACAAATATTTTTATAATACTATTTGAAAACATGTATTCATAAAAATAGAATAACTTTAAAGTAAACTTGTAATATAAAATGGAACAGTTCTCTTGAATGAAACGGTGAATAAGATAATATATAATAATAAGGTAAACATTAAATTAAGGAAAGAATATATGTTAATCTGTTGTTAAAATGTTATCTCTCGGCAATATTTCATTAACGACTGACATCATACCGCTCTTGAGAGAAGCGAGAGTGCCAAGTCACGTTTACATTCATGTGTATACGATGGATAAAATGTTTAATACGGGA